ATGAAATAACTTTGTTGGAGAATTTTATTGATACAAAATTTATTAAATAATCCAGTATAGATGATGCTAACACTTGGTTATTACAAACAATGAATCAATTTAAGCAATATGGATTACGTCGTCTTGAACGAGTTCAAGCTATACCATTTTTATTAATTGATGAAGCTTATTTGTGGTACGTAGAACATATTGCTTTAATCACCAGTTTTGAATTATTTAGGAAATTATTTCTTCAACAATACTTATCTACATCATCAACAAAACAAAATAATACACTTGTAGAGACGGTTGCTCTGTCAATTGCTGCTCCAAGTTTTTTATCTATATCACATCTATAGTAAACGATCGCTGATGAAATTATTAAAAAACCTACATATTTTCGTGGTTCAAAAGACGATGTTCATGATTGGTTAGACACATTGGAACAACGTTTTAAAATGGCAAAATGGAATGATGAAGAAAAATTACATTATATTTCAGTACATCTACAAGATGATGCATCTCGATGGTGGACACAAGCATCCATATCGATTAAAACATGGTCATCATTTACTGAACCTGTTATAAAAGCTTTTGGATCAACAAAAGTACAAGAATTAGTATTCGAACAATTAAAATATTTAATGGCTGGTATAAGAGAATCATTAAAATTACATGTTGCTTTACAGGATCCAAAGACAACTGATGCATTTTTATCGCTCGCCAGAAAAATTGAAGATACATTATCATTTACTACTGCAGATAATGAAATGCAACAAAATGATATTAACATCAATGCTACCACTACTCAAAAATCATTAGAACAAACATCTATTTCACAAAAATCACAAAAAAATATTCGACAAAATATACCTTCACAAGAGCAAATGCAATTACGTCCAAATTATCAACGTACTACGCAAACTTCGTATAAAAAACTCAACATTATGAACCTTCAGGATATTCACAATATTCACAACGATCAAATTATTGTTATAAATGTGGTACTCCTGGTTATTATGCTCGAGATTGTACCCGTATCCATTTCGGGTAAAGGAGGTAAAGATGGGTGGTATTGCTTCCAATAGTTTACATAGAAACCCATCGACTCTAAATACAACTTTACTATATCTTAATGTTATTGTAAATAATAAAAAAATGAAGGTAATGATGGATACAGGTGCAAATCGATCTTTTATTTCAATCAAAGCTTTAGATCCATCCTATGGTAAGCAATTTAATAATAAATCACATAATCGTGTAATTTTAGCTGGTGGTTATACATCTCTTTCTGTTTTTGGTACAATGAATTTATTTATTATGATGAGTGATATGTCAACTTCTATTAAGGCATTATTCGTTAAAGAATTATGTGCCGATTGTATAGTAGGTACGGGTTTCATTCATAAATATAATTTAATTATTAATACGGAAGAACAAATAGTTTCCATTAGTGATAATTATAAATGTATCACATTAAAATTTGATATTAATAAAGGTGATATAAGATATCCTGCACGTCTAATTAATAATGTTCGGATTCCATCAAAGCGAACAGTAACAGTTCTTGTATCTCTGGAATTATCATCAGCTAAAGTATTATTTCGTCCATGCTTTAAATTATAACAACGATTACCTATATTTATGTTAAATTCTTCATTAACTATTCATCATCATACTTCATCTATTTCACTTCATAATCCAACAACTTACTCATGTTTATTACCGAAAGAAATTATTTGGTAAACAACAGATATTCCTATATTATCCTTTAAAAGAAACTCAATTATTGATCATCGATCAGTAAATAACAACATTACTAATTTAACTCGACATTTTGATAATCCTGAACAACAAGATAGAGTTGAAACACTTCTTAATCAATTTGCAAAATTATTTGATACTACTGCCCGTTTCAAAATAAAAGGTGGGTGGATATTTTTTTGGATATCTTTCGATAGAAACAACCCAGGCGAGCAAAGGACGGGTAAAAAGACTAGTCATTTTTCTAGTCGTGACTATGCGTCATGTCTAGTCTTTTTCTCAAAAAGTCCTACTACATGACTAGTCCAAAATGGTTTGGAATCTTTAACCCCGTCTGGGCAACCCGTCCGAAAATAGATTTTAAATTAAAAAAGGCAGAGCGCCTGTGACGCGACATCTATTAGATTTCAGTCTTATGTAGCGGTCTAGTTCGGACTAGTCTAAATGATAGAAATATGTGCAGAAAGTTAGATTCGTACATGCATACCTTGTGTTACTTACTCGTCGTCTGCCCGATTGAGCCATATAATCTAGTGATCAACTTCTACATGTCAATATACATCTGAAGACATTAATTACTACAGTTTGACTCAGCATTTTCTCAAGTTTTAATATTTATAGAAACTACTTGTAATAAAATCGAAAATTAGTTAAATAAAGCTAAGCAAAATTAATTCAGAATTTTTTTAATCTCCTTCAACAGAATTTTTTTTGATTATCGACATTTGGAAAAAATTATTTTCTATTGGAAAAAACAATTAAAATTTAAATCAAAATCAAAATAATAATATATATTTCAAAAAAAGATCTTTCTTTTCATCTCATGGTTTATGTTTATCTTAATTTAAAATACTTCCTATCTAAATTTGCAAATGAACTACGATTCTATCGTTTAAATCTATTTTTAAATTCAAATCATTAGGTTTTATATTAAAATAAAATAATATTCTCATATCAATGTATTAAAATTAATTTTTCGAATAAAATTATTCTTGATTGTTATTACAATGTAAAAATTTAAAAGGACATAAATAGCCAACTCTCGTTAGATACATCGTTCTAGTCCCAATACAAACTAGTCTAAACGAATTGTCCAAACGATTAAGCCCAAGCAATAAAGACTGTTTGGAAGGATAGACTAGCCTGGATCAGAATTGGCATTACTTTCTCGAAAACGCCTAGTCATGACCAATATAAATTACTCTTCATACTAGTCCGCGTTACCTATTGAAAACAGTTTAGACTAGTCAGATATCCAATATTGTCAGCTTGAATGTTCGAATCCACCTATCGCCTCCGTTTCTTCTAGCTTTTGCCTTCAAGTTGACGCGTCTGGACAGTATGCACATACAAAACGGACTAGCCATGACAAGATTAGAGCATGTTTTGGACTAGTCTATTTTAGATGCAAGACGTTGCTCGTGAAGACGACTAGTCCTGACTAGCTGCAAATCATTTCAGACTAGTCCAAACGGCAGTGCAGACATTTTAGACTAGTCCAGATGGGTACTACGGACAATTTAGACTAGTCATGTCGGGCGTCACCCCTTATTTTTTGCTCGCCTGGG